TTTAGCATTGAGTACAAGTCGGGACCTTCTAATGCTGTCACCGACGCACTCTCACAGGTTGAAGCCCTTCACAACACTGGGGTGTCACAGCCAACTTATACCCTAATGGACCAGTTAAGGCAGGAAGCCCACGATGACACTCACCTAGCCCAGAATCAGGCCCAAGTTCTTAAGGAACCAGCTCGCACCGATAGGTACACCATGAAGGGTGATGCTCTCCTTTACAGAGGGAGAATGATGATTTCTGACAGATCCAACCATCACCAGGACTTACTACGACTCTTTCACGACTCAGCACGAGGACATTCAGGGGCTCTTAGTACTTATAAACGTTTGGCCTCGCACTATTATTGGAAAGGCATGAAGCGCATGGTGCAAGAGTATGTAGCGAGATGTGCTACTTGCCAACAGCAAAAGTATAACACACAGGCACCAGCAGGACTGTTGCAACCCCCACCCATACCAGAAAGAGTTTGGGAAGAAGTCACTGTGGACTTCATAACCGGATTTCCCACCTCTCAAGGGAAGTCAGTAGTGCTGGTGGTTGTGGACAGGCTGAGTAAATACGTCATTGCCCTCTCCAAACCTTATTCAGCATCCACTGTGGCTCAAGCTTGCATTCGGGAGGTGGGCAAACTCCACGTAACTCCCCTCAAGCTTACATTTGGGAGGTGGCTCAAGCTTACTTCACCGCTCAAGGGGTACACCTACTTCACTCGACCAGTTATCATCCACAGACGGACGGGCAGTCGGAGGTAGTCAACCGATGTTTAGAGACCTATTTGCGGTGTTTTGTGGGAGATAAGCCCAAACAGTGGGCTCAATGGTTACCATGGGCCGAGTTCTGGTATAACACTACATTCCAATCCAAATATCAACAGGAACCACCCCTTTCAAAGTGCTCTATGGGTGTGACCCCCCATCTATCCTGCCGTATGAAAAGGGGACAACATCAGTTGTTGAAGTTGAGAGCCAGCTTTCAACAAGGGACCAGATACTCAAGACCCTCAAGTTCCATCTTCAGCAAGCCCAGCAACGTATGAAGATAGATTATGATAGGAAGCACCGGGAATTGGAGTTTTCTGTTGGGGATTGGGTATACTTGAAACTCCAACCATACAGGCAAGTGTCCCTAGCGAGAAGGTCAAATCATAAATTATCTCCCTGGTACTTTAGGCCATTTCAGGTGGTTGAATGCATTGCGGTTGTTGCCTACCGACTGAACCTCCCTACAGAGTGCCAATTGCACCCCATATTCCATGTTAGCCTCCTAAAGCCTTGCCTATCTACCTCTGATGTTACCAGTCCCACGCTTCCGCCGTTCACAGAGGCCGGAGAAAGTGTTTCAACCACAGCATGTTAAGGACATCCGTTGGGTGAAGAAGGGCAGCAAGGTTCACAAACAAGTCTTGGTTGTTTGGAAGGGGCTGCCACAGGAGGATGCTACTTGGGAAGATTTTGACCAGCTACAGAAGCAGTTCCCCATCACCGACCTTGAGGACAAGGTCGTTCTTGATGGGGAAGGGGATGTTAGGACCGGCCTAGAAGCAGGCCCAGTTATGGAGAGCCAGGCCCAGGACACTTCGGGCCCAGATCAGCACACCCCACGACTCAAGCGCGCAGCACCTCCTCTGAGGTTTGTTTACACGCACCGTCCACGTCCAGAGATCTGAGCAGAGTTTGTTGGGTTGTTACAGGTCACGATTGGGTTGTTACAAGCCACTATCGGCAGTTATAAATATCTGTAGCAATCAATTGAGTGGCATGAATGAAATAGTCCCGAGTTCCTCTCCTCTCTCCTCTTTTCTTCTCTTCCTCTCTCTCTCGTCCATTTTAGGAGGGTGAGCTCCCTCGAACCAACTCTTCTTCTGTAACACGACCAGCAACCCTATCATTCTCCTTGGAAATCCATTCACAATCTACTTCTAGTTTTTTTCCCCTTGGATCAGGTATGGTCTAAACTCTGGTAACCGAATAAAATTCTGAGAACTTTGGGTCGGGGATTCACCTCTGAAGGACCAGTTTCCATCCTTGTATGCTCTGTCAAGCTTGAAAAATGAACCTACCTCTTCTTTCTTGGTTCCTTCAGACTCCACTTCTGGTTTTGGGTGGAACCTAGGCCTGCATAGAGCATTAGGGATACAGATTTGGACAGCTTGTTACCTTTGCTAGCCACCCTTGAGAATATCTTCCTAAATCCCGATAAGGAAGACACCAAATTTTGGACCCCTTCTACCTCTGGTTCTTTCTCTTGTGCTTCATTCTTTGAAACCTTAACTCAGCCTTCTGTCCCTTTTGGGTTGTCCTTTTCGACTAAGGAAATATGGAGCAAGCCTATTCCTCCTCGGGTTGGTTTTTTTTGTTGGGAAATTTTCCTGGAAAGAATAAACACATTTGACTTACTTCAGAGAAAGAGACCCAACTATTGTCTAATTCCTAATAGATGTGCTCTTTGTAAAGATGATGGGGAATCCAACTTCCACCTCATGGTCTCTTGTATGGTTACTAAAATTGTATGGGAGTAGGTTTTCTCCCATTTTGGGTGTTCTTGGAATCCTCTGGAGAGTGTCCAAAGTTTGTTCTCTCCTTTTTTCAGATGGCCTAAGAAGCGAGGGAAGACTATGTGGAGGAGTATTAGGGCAATTGTGTGTTGGTCACTGTGGGAAGAAAGAAATTCACGTATTTTTTCAGACAAGGAAAGAACCCTGGAACAATTGTTAGATTTAATCCTTTTAAGGGCTGCCCATTGGCTAAAATCTTTGGAGTTGTTTTCAAACTTTCCTGTGGATGACTTGCTAAGAAATTGGAAAGAGATTGCTTCCATTGCTAGGTGCAAGAGGACTCTTTGTCCCTCTTGGTCCCCTCCCCCCTTGGGTTTTATAAAGTTGAATTTTGATGGAAGTAGTGTAAGGAATCCAGGGCCCCTCTGGGATTGGAGGAGTTTTCAGGAATGAGGAAGGGATTGTTATTTCTTTGTTCTTTGGCCCTATTGGAGAAGGTGACTCTCTTAGGGCTGAGATCCTTGCAGTGCTTGAAGGAATTCGAAGAGCAAAGGAATTAAATATCAACCGTTTGATCCTGGAAGGTGATTCGAAGGTGGTGGTTAGCTGGTTGAAGAAAGAGGACAGTGGATTGTGGAACTATAACAATGAAAAGAAACAGTTCTTATGGTTGTGTAAGGACATTGAGATACAATACAGCTAAGTGAAGAGGAGTGCCAACTCATTTGCAGATGGGTTGGCCAAGCAAGGGGTTAATAGGGAGTTTGTCTTTTGGGCTAGTTTTTAATTTTTTTCTTTTTGTATTCTCTTTCTATTTTGTTATTGGGGAGATAAGATATTTTATCTTCCCTCCTGTATCCATAATCCCTCTTTTCTTTTATAACTAATGAAGTTGTTGTTATTGATCCAAAAAAAAAAGAAATGTAGAAAGGAGTAAGCCTCTAAAACCTATGCCAATTGAGTTTTTTAATACAAAAAAAAAATATTGTTTTACTTTTTCTAAGTTTAAAACATATGGGAAGGACACTTTGGTAATTATGGACTAAATAAAAAGATTAAAATAAAAATCCATAAATCAAATAGACTTCCTAGTTTCTCTTGGGGTTTTAAGGAGTTCAAAGCAACAAGGGCCAAAAAGAATCATCACTATTCTCTCTTCATCCTAGGTCAACAAGTGGATTATTTTTCTTAATATCTATGCGTTTGGATAAATAGAAACCTAACATCTTATATTTGACCATTTACATATTTTCTCTAGAAGAAAATTATTTTATCTATTCTCGACTCTCTTCCTGATGGATTTCTTTTCTTTTTTATTGGTTTTTTTTTGCATAGATTAAACCAAATAAGTTGTTTATTTTCCTCTAACAAGTTGGGTAACCAGAAATCCAATGTCAATTATGTGGATGATTCATTAGAATATCTCATTGGCAATAGAAACTTTGATGATGTTCGTTAGTTGATTAGCTATTATTTTGTTGAATGCTAAAAGCCAAGAATTTGTCACTTAGAGACTCTATTTTATGAATGCTTGTAAATTCTATTTATTCTATCTTAAGTTATCATATGTTCTTTTTATTATTAATAAACTTTAATTAATCATTTCAAAAATTCTTGAGGTTTATGCCTCACCTTTTTTAGCCATCAGCCCGCAACTACACCTTTAACCTTTTAAAACCCTGATCAAAAGCAACATAATTGATAAATGAACAGTACTGAAGAAGGTTGATACATTAAAATGAAAGTTCTTCAGTCTCATTCATTTTTCAAAAAGCTATTTACCTAGGTAAGTGAACTTACCTGTGCTCTTTTGATTCTCAGGTAAATTATACAATGACTCTTTTGTCTATGAAAAGTCATTGTTAAAATGGGCAAAATTGTCCCAACACATTTTGTCAACTTCCCCCAGGTGAGACAATTACTCACCCACCTGGGAGTTTTCTATGGATTCTACATGAACATGAAAAACTAACATGGGAAAAGCAATCAATGGGAACCACAATCCCATAATCCAAAAAAACGAACAAGGCCTTCATGATAAAATTAAGCCTATCATAACAGTTTGATTTGAACATCATGATCATCCAAAAAATGGCCAACCAAATATAGAGAGAGAGAGAGATGACTTTTTCAATTTCTAATACAAAAAGAAAATTAATTGTTATCCATTTCCCATGCCAATTTTGCATTAATTTTAGTACACAAGAATCACCAGAGTTTTAATCTCCTTTTTATTGGGCTGGAGAAGAAGCTTTCCACGAAGTTAAAAGAAAAAGAAAAAAAAAAGGAAAAGTTCTATATAGCATATGTAAATATATTCTCAATATTTTCCAGTACACGACTAGCTTCCAAAGGGCTAAACATTCCAACATTCAACATAGTCAGTTGAGTCCATTAATAAAACAAGTAAACAGAACATGACAAAAGACAACTAGCATAACAGGGTATTAAGTGAATGCCAAGCCAATATATAGTCAATAATGAGATTAAAACCACTACCTTGTTGGAGCACACCACTCATTAATCTGTTAGGTCCTTGTACACCAAGGTTCCCAGATCCATTGCCACCCATTAAATTTAAGCGAGATGCAAGAGCAGGTACAGATAATCCTCCACCAGAACTTAAGCTCCTACTCATGCTGCTGCCACCACCAATAATGTTTCCCACCGAGCTGGTAACTCGTGGACCTGTGTTTCCTAAAATTGGAGATACTCCCAATCCTGCAAGAAAACTCTTATTAATACTGGCAGTATAAGTCAGGGAAGCCTCATAATGATAATAGAAGCACCATTCAAATAATGCAAATTTAAAACTTAAGGGCTTGCTAAAACAATTAAACCTCCTCTACTTGTGACACCCGAATGTCCATGCGAGCTTCCATGAGCCATCTGCATATCAAAAGGATGAAATGAACAAAACCAGGATTTAGAACTGCTTTCCTTTCGTTCCCCATTCTCTATGTAGTAGAAGGGGGACTCACTAATAAACTGGATGTTAACATCAAAGCAAAATTATGTAATCACATAGCTACAATAGCAGCAAATGCCTGTAAGCACCTGGGAAAGAGCAATGGGAATATTGTTTGAGGTATATCTTCCATTAGAAAGACTTCCTGCAGGCTGTTGAACACCATTTGAAGGGACAGCATTCATCGCTGAGTTTCTTGATACAAGTGTTCCTTGCATGTTGGGAATATTGAAGCTCCCATGAATATTATGCAGTCCTTGCATGGTTCCTAACCAAAAAAAAAGAAGTATGAAAATTTAAGTAGGGTAACAACAAATATGAAAATATATATAGCTGAAAAGGTCAGGCATAAACTACTAACCAGTGTGATGAAAAACAGGGCCAGCAGAACCAGATTGAACAGAAAAAGATGTTGCAAAAGGTCTTCCAGTGGTCTCTGGAAGATTTGAAGATGAACCTGACTGCAACCAGAAGTTCCATGTATTTCAGTGAATAAACAAAGGTTGCATCAAATAGATGCTTGTGTCTATGGAAATCAATTACACAGCTAGTGGAATCATGGAATGAAGTTGCTCCTAAAAAAATCACTTTAAAAGTGAAAGGATTAAATCCAGTGTCTAAGAAAATATACAGGGTAAGAAATGCAAGTAGTAATCAAAGCACTCAATAACAGGTCTAAAACATATGAACATCATTGAGTGTATACTGCATTATTCACTAACACCTTGAGAAGATCCTTACACTCAAATACAAAACTGCTAGAATTCCAATATATGAAAATGTCAAAGAAATTTTTAAAGGAGAGAAAATACATTAAGTATCCCAGCCATTACAGATAATATCAAGCAGGCATGCAGGAAAGCATTCCTCGCCAAGCAGCAGCCTTTTTTGCCTTGTTTTCCTTGCTTTTATCTTGAAGTAAGAGTTCCTCTCTAAAAAGAAAGCAAAACAATGTAGTTAGAAGGATATTAAATTATTAATTACAAGATCCACAATAGAAATCCCTTAACACCATTCTTGGTTTTATTCAGCAGATAATATTACTTCTCACTCTATAATAACATTCAAAGAAAGAAAAAGATCCATGTAGTGCCCCCTCCCATAACTCTGCCTACTAGAAACAACATTCTAAAATTAGTTTTCATGTGGATACCCTTAATATCAGAACGGTAAAACCATACAAACACGAGTGGTGTAAACCCTTAACACATAAAAGTCCACCAAAAAGAAAAAGAAAAAATCACTACTTTTAGATAATTTAGTTAGTTAAATTTTCCAAAATGTTACTTACTTTCAACTTGTAAGTAACAATTTTATTTCTCCCAACAAGTAACGACTGGTTATATTAAAATAAACGAGGAAGTGAAGAAAATTGGGGAGATAATAATAATAATAACAACAACAACAATAATGTGTTATATCCTAACTAACCCCTGACTTGGCAAGAACATCCATCACCTTGTTAGACTCCATTCAGCAAGCAATGGAAAAACACAACATAACATGGTTGTGGCAATGCTCTGAGATGGCTGGCATTCTCTTATAACCCCAACCCCCAAACAACACACATACAGACAATATCCACGAGTTTCCTACAATTAGTTTAACAATCTTGAGCTTTTCCTTCAAAATCAAGCCATTAAGAGCAGCTAGTGCTTGAAATTAATTAGAACCAGTCTCTCCACATGAACCCAAAACTATAAGGATCCTCCCATAGGAGGTCAGTGCAACCACAGAAGGCACCTCTAAAGCACATCACCCACAAGGTATTTGTGTGAAGTCCACAATGTTTTGCCTTTAAATTGCTTTTATTCCCCTTCCCCCATAAACATCACGGAACAGCCTGAGGAAGCAGAGCCTGCATAGCATATTTTCCTATTACCCAAAGGCCCCAATTACTGTTGCATGTGAAAGCTTAAAGAGGCTAACCAAACAACAACCAAGTCTGCACATGAAAAGTAAAAACAAAAAATAGAAGCAGACTACATTTTCTGCAATAAATTATAATCATAATAGAAGAAATGTTTCCCCATATTGGTGTCAAATACTGTAAAAAAAATTAAAAAAAAAAAACCCTCTCCCATTGAACTTGTAAAGCCCTCCATATGCTACGGAAACATTCCATACATCTAGAACCATACATATCTCCAGGTCTATGTTGCAAAAAAAAAAGGTGAGACCGCAAACATATTTTTATATTATGAGCAAAGATTCCATAGCTTATACAAGTTTGTAGACGCTGTACAACCCGAATGAATCACAATATTTAGAAAACAAAACACATATTAATGATGTATAATTAACATCATTGTCTGATGCATCTACAAAAGGTGGACTCGACATCCACGGACGAATCAAGAAGGGGAAAGGCGGAGAAGAATTGTAAAGTTGGAGGTTGTATTTAAACTATTCAGTTGGGTGAAGCATGAAAACAAAAGAACATTTGCTAAATAGCAATAACCCATTATGATTATATTAAAATAACATAGGGAATCAACTAAACATCAAAGGCGAAGTGACTCCAGTAACCTATTTAAGGCAGATGAAACAACCATCATTGCCAATAAACAGATGAGGTTCAGACCAGGGTGCAATACAAGCGATCAAACCCAAAACAGGATCGCTTCCTTTAATTTTAAAGCTCAAAATTCGACTTTGGAGGGTTTAGAAATTACAAAATAAAACAATAACACTAATACCTTGAGGACCTTAAACGAGGTCCTTGCAGAAGCCTTGAATCCGAGATATGAACGACGAAAAAAGTCGAAATCCTGTCAAAGAAATACTAGTAAATGCCTACAAAAGAAAAATGAAAACGTAAATAAGACCCAAAAAAACCTACCAAACACATGAAATAGTTAGTGATCTAGAATAAAATAAAATTATAACAGCAGACAATAATCATTCAGTAAAAGAAAAAAAAATTAAAAATTTGATGGAGAAAAAATTAAAAAAAAAATAAAAAAGCGGAAGTATAAGACGACATACTTCTCTGTGTGTAGAATGATCTGTGATTTTTTCCTTTGTTTGAAGAAGAAGAAGAAAAGGGGATTAATCGGAAGGAGAAGCCCTTTGAGAGCGATATCGGAGTCCAATCACGAAAGGTCGTCGGAAGTCTTGTAGCTTGCTGAAGTGTTCATCATTCGTCACTTCATGATTTCTCTAGTGCTAACTTATGTAATTCCAGAGAAGATCTCGACCGTGCGATCCTTGGGTCAAATGATATTGTGTAATGAATGATACTGAATCCAAAGAGGGGTCATGATTTAGCCCAAGGTTCCTTGGTTTTGCGGCCTCAAAAACATCTATACCGTCCACGTGTATTCCCATTTACTCCTAACATCAGATAAATTATTTTTCGGATAAATTACAAAGACCGCCAGTGACAATTACCCCTCAACTTTTATTAAAGATAAAGACCTTCTACTATGGCTCATTACAATTATCCCCTTAACTTTCATGACCCATGAAAAAATATTTTTATTCAACTGTTTAAATTTTTTTAAGTCTCCAAACAATCCTTTTTTTATTTATTTGAATGGTTTATGATTTGATTAGTTTTTTAAATATAAAATTGAAGTCCTCTCGATTGCTTTAATAAATTCTTGCACATTTTTTATCAGACATTCAAATGAAATAGTAGAGATTTCTTCTGATAGATATAAATTTAAGGTTCCATTTAGTTTTCTTAATTTATTGAAGAAATGAGTGGATAATTTTTATATTTAAAGAATCAATAAAATGAAACAAGAATTTAAATAAACTTATTTTTTTATGTCAACGAAATGATTCCTATTGTTTTAGGTGGTTTTGTTAGGAGAAATTTGAGGTATTTACGGGTCAATTAGTGTTTAAGAGAAAATGATGAGGAAAATAAAATAAGGAAAGTTTGGGTGGATATTTTGGTTATTTAACACGTTGTGTCATCCAATCAAGGAACGTTTATCACAAATAAAAGTTCATGAGATAATTGTCACTCACCTCATAGTACATGGTGGTTTTTATCGCAAATGAAAGTTGAATGGGGTAATTGTCATTGACCCCATAGTACAGGGGTCCTTTGCAATTTATCTATGATTTTTCCCCAGTTTACAAAAATAATGAAAAAACTTGTGTGGTTTACGAGAATTATTGAAAAATGGAAAAGTTGTGAGAAAAGGCCTTAAGATTTTATTATGTGTATCTAATCTATCCGTTCATACTTTATGTTTCATATTCAAATCAAATTTATTTGATATATCGGATTTGAGTTTTAAAATGTTCTCTGTCATAAATAAAATGAACTACAAATAATTTTGATATTATATATCATGAACAAAATTATTTGAAAAATAACTTGTTTGAAAATTTAATATATTACTATTTGTATAAATGCAATATTAAAACAAATTTTGCTAATTAATACAATATAAAACTTAAATATATATAAACATGAATATTTAAAGTCGAAAAAAATATTATATTAGATTGGATTGGGATATATCTATATTTGATTCAATTGTAAATGAATGTAATTCAAGTAACCCTTAGCAAGGTGCCAAATGGCTAGTCGGTAAGGTATTTGGTTGGTTGTAGCAAAGACTTGGGATTGAATCCCACTTGCACAAAGGTTGGGGATTATCGGTTTGGGGGATGGGCTACCCTGTTGTATACTCCCATAGAACCTCCTAAAAAAAACTTTGAAACTGAATTTGAATCTAACAATCAAGTACAATTTGCAGCCTTGATAAATTTTTAAGAACTTTCAGTCTTCACATTTACTTGTTAGAAAGACAAACATGGCACCAGGACTAGGACTAGGGTGCATCTTGATGGTTTATGTTGGATTAGGAATTCATTAGGTACAAATCACCATGAATTCTATGGTTTTGTTAATTATCTCTTTTATTTATTTATTTATTATTATTATTATTATTATTATTATTATCTATATAAATATATTAAGTTGAAATGTGTATGTAGAAAGGCCTGTGGATAAGGAAAATGAAATCTAATAATATTTTTGCCATTTTTTCTTAGAAATTACAAAAAATGCCACTCTCTACTAACTTTTTCTCTCTCTTTTGTTTTTTTTTTCTTTCAAATTACAAGAATGCCACTCTCTCATACCAACTCTCATTCTCTCTCTCTTTCATACAAATTACAAGAGTGCCATCTCTCTCCTTATAAATTACAAGAATGCTACTATCTCTCAAACCGAGGAAGACCTCAACTCGGCATCTCGACTACTAGGGGACCTGGAATCAAAGGTAGTCGAGTTCGAGCCGAGCCAAGATCGAACTTCTGAGCTCAAGCTCAAGTCTCTAATTCAAATCGAGCTCGAGCTAGACGACACCTCGACCACTGAGGGAGACCTCAACTCGGCACCTCGGTCATTAAGGGAGATATCGGCTCAACACCTCGACAACTGAGGGAGACCTCAGCTCGGCACCTTACCAACTAATGGAGACCTTAGCTTGACACGACGTCTGCTAGGAAAACCTCAGCTCGACACTTCAGCAGCTGAGGGAGACCTCAATTTGACACCTCGGCAACTGAGGGAGACCTCGGCTCGGAACCTCGGTTGCTTCAGAGACCTATAATCAAAGGTAGTCAAAATCGAGCTTGAACTCAAGTCTCTAATTAAAATCAAGCTCGAGCCTGATAGTTTATGAGCGAGCCCCTGCAACACAGGCCCTCTCCACTAGTTGTTATTATTAGGACAAATTTCTTAAACTACCATTATGGTTTAGCCAATTAACTAACTTTATCCTTACTATTTACATATTGTCTTAAAAGTACTCTTAAGTTTTTTGACAATTGTCTAAAACCTCTCTTGCTGCTAACTTTTCATCACACTCTGTTCACATGTGACATTACATGATTGATATATTTAAAAAAAAAACTAAAATACCCTTTTATGGTTATGGTGTTGTTATATAACAAAACCTATTCAATGACCTCACTTAACAGCTCAAGCTTTTAGGTTGAATGATTCTTTGAGATGGTATCAAAGCAACTTTGACCAAGTGGTCTATTGTTTAATCCTAGTCACCCCCATTATAATTAATTAAGTTTCAGCGCAAGGTATGGATGGGCATGTGCTTATTTACACTTCAAGCCCAATGGGCTTTCATGTGAGGGGGCATGTTAGAGAACAAAACCTATTCAAGCACCTCACTTAACAGCTTAAGCTTTTACGTTGAATGGTTCTTTAAGAGGTGTCATACTGAAGTCAGCCTCCAAGCTTATAAAGAAAGTGAAGAAATCACTTGAGGTTGCAAATGGGGAGATCCATCGTCTCTTGTTGCTACTTCACAACATAAGCTCCAGTTTGTTGCTTTGCTCCTTTAGCGGTGTTGTGGCGGTGGGCAAAAAAAAGAGGAGAGAAAGAGAGATTATTTAAAAAATATCCTTATTTCAGACCGGCCTTTCATCGAGCATAAGTGCACTCATTTGGCCTCCCTGCAACTATCCTAAACCGTAAATTCTAAGTATGTGTTTGGTACCATTTATGTTTATTGAATAAACGTTTGTACTTTATTTGCTGGTAAAACCGAGAAATGCAATAATTGCAACCGTTTATGACAACTGGGCGTCACTAGGTGCCACTTCAGCATAACAGTGAATAAACGCCTGGCCGTTTGTAGAAGCTTCAAAAAATAACTTCTACAAACGGCTGGCATGCACATAAACAAAAGGTCACTTTTTACATTTTCGATGTATGTAGAAGAGCAAGAGAGAGAGAATGTTGAGATGGCGCCTATGTGGCACCATCTATAAACGTTTATTGAATAAATGTAAACGATACCAAACATCACCTAAATAGTTCACGAAGGAGACCAAGGGAAAAAAGAACATGGAAGGAAAAAAGCCCACTCGTTTTATTATAAAAGTACTTCTCTGGTATACAAATTTGAAGTTCACTTTGTTTTTGCCCTCTTGTCACAACTATTTGTCTAAAAACCCTATTCGTAGTGGCCCAAAAGGCTTTTAATTTTCTGAGAGATTTGAAATCTTATTCACGAAGTATGTATCATGGATTGCTACTCATAACTTCTATAGGTGAGGGAACTACAACTTCCATGGCAAGGCATGACGAAATGCCTTCAAGGGGAATTAAGTAAGTGTTTTGTATGGAAATTTCCACATGTATTGACTGTCACCGACTCTGATCCTGGAATTGGTGCTGGAATTCAAGCTGATCTTAAAGGCATGTGGGGCGCTTGGAATGTATTGCTCCATTGTCATTACTACAGTCACTGCCCATAACACAATTGGAGTTCATATTTAATTCTAATTTGGCTCCTCACTTTCCTTACAATCCCTTTAAAACATTGCAACGGTCAGTGCTTGCAACTACATTGTAGAGGAGAGGGTTGAGAGTGGTCTTTGGTGAGTCGAACATGGGAACTTGCAAATTGAGAGCATTTGGCATGTAGTTGGTTACAGTGGCGATCGAATTGAGTATATCGAAACTTTTTGGGTTTTATTTTAACAGAATTCTACCTTTTTTCTTTAGCGTTGGGAAGAGGTGATCAACATCATAATCCCCACAACAACGTTTCATCTGAAATAGAGGTGATCAGCATGGGAAATGGTAGAATCCTCATTTTCCTACAATTTTTTATGAACTGGGTTTTTATTTTCAAAACGTGAGGAATAGTAGAGGGCAAATTTAATATTTTATTTTTTTCATTAATACTTAACATTGATCAATTGTCAAAAAACTTAATGATACACTAAGACAATATGTAAATAATAAAGATGGAGTTAGTCAATTAACTAAACCATAGGGAGTCTCTTCTCGGGAGAGTATAAGAGAGAGATACTCTCTCTTATCGGAAGAGTCTTCGTCTATGGAGTTCCAAAGGTCCCCTCTGTCTCTTCTCTAAGAGAGTCTCCATCTTGGGGTTGTCATCGAGCTCTTCTTCCCTCTCTCTCACTTTTTTCTCCATTTTCTTCTTCCCTTCTCCCTTTCCTTCACTCCTTTCTCTTCTTCTTGATTAACTCAGTCAAATCCTCAACTCTCTTTCATTTTTTCTTTTTTACTATTCTTTATTTTGTTCTTTTTTTGCAGGGATTTTAGTACAGGAGGCAGAGTGTTGGGTGGTGGCCTTAATCGCTACTTTGATTTTCACTGCCGGTAATTGTTCCCTTATTTTATTCCATTGACACTTACAGTTTC